CGCGCCGCCCTCCCGTCCCTCGTGCCTCCCGCAGCCCTCAGCCGGGCTGGTGCGGGAGATGGAGCGGAGCGGGCGGGTGATGCTGACCCGCAGACTGAGGGGTTAGCGCACCTCCTCCTGAGGGCACTGCCCGGGCTCCTTGGCACACCTGCTTCTCTGACCGAGAGGCAAAGAAAACCGCGTTCCGGTGGCTGTCCGCCGCTTAAACGCGCCTCGGTGCGGTGCGGGCGTTCCGAGCCCTGGAGGAGGGACTGCCTTCCTCTCGACGGGCTCTGAAGTAAAGACCCTGCTCTCGCAGCTGGGACTAGGTGAAAAAGCGGCTTGCAGTGATTGTTTTCCAGCACTTCAGCCAAAGAAAACCACGATGGGACCAAACAAAACCAAATCGTAGTTCTGAGTTTGGTAACCTTCAATAATATGTTTGCTTAGAGCTGGTTGGCTTTGAGATGATGAAAATAAGCTGCGTTCCCTGTTTGCCCCTTGTTATCTGGAAAAGTTTTAGCTGTCATTAGCATCTAAAGAAAAGTGATGGGACACCTCCCGATTTAAGTCATTTGTGTATTTTTAAAACGCTTGGCTCAATTTCTGTCAATTATTTTTCAGCGCAGATGTTTCTGGGTTTTTTTTTCCTGCTTGAAATGGCATTTACCAAGCATTCAGGAGTAGCTCCATTGTAACGTAGCAGCGTATGTAAGACAACTAATGTGGGTTAAAGACATGATACCAGTTTTAGATTTGTAGGATCTTATAAGCCATATATATGTGTTTACTTTTTTAAGTCCTCGCTATTTCAAATTTTATTTTCTTTGCTTTTGTGTAATTGCTTGTTCTTTCTACGGCTTTAGAATCTTAAATAATAGCTTTTGGTTTGAAACTTCATGTGCCATCCATCAGTTTTTATTGTGTCTTTTAATGGCTGTGCCTTTATTAGACATTTTATTGTTCTAGGTAACTTTTACAGTTCTTCCTTACAGTTCTCTGTGTGTTCTTTCTCTAGGTTTGGGGGGGGGATTGTTGTTTTTTGGGGTTTTTTTAAAGCAATGCCCTTCATCTTATGTGCATCCTTGTAGGGACATTGTAACTTTTGAAAAGCTGATGTTTGTTCTGCAGATTCCGATTCTGGATCTGAATCTGATTCTGATCAGGAGAATGCCGGCTCTGGTAGTAATGCTTCTGGAAGTGACAGTGACCAAGATGATGACAGAGAGGCAATAAAACCTAGTAATAAGGAGTTATTTGGAGACGACAGTGAGGATGAAGGGGCATCTCATCACACAGGGAGTGATAACCACTCTGAAAGATCCTACAATCGCTCTGAAGCTTCAGGACATTCTGAGCATGAAGACAATGATCAGTCAGATGTGGACCAGCACAGTGTTTCAGAAGCTGCACATGACGATGAGGAAGATGATCATGGGCATGGATCAGATGAAGGCAGTCATCATTCCGAGGGAGATGGTTCTGAAAAAGCACATTCAGAGGATGAGAAGTGGGGAAAGGAGGACAAAAGTGATCAGTCTGATGATGAGGAGAGGCAGCAGAACTCTGATGATGAGGAGAGGCAGCAGAACTCTGATGATGAGGAGAGGCAGCAGAACTCTGACGATGAGGAGAAAGTGCAGAACTCTGATGAAGATGAAAGGCCACAGATATCTGATGATGAGGAGAGGCTCCAGAACTCAGATGAGGAGAAGATGCAGAACTCCGATGATGAGGAGAGGCCGCAGGTCTCAGATGAGGAGAAGATGCAGAACTCGGACGATGATGAACGGGCCCAGCATTCTGACGAGGAGAAGATGCAGAACTCTGACGATGATGAAAGGGCCCAGCACTCCGATGAGGAGGACCAAGAGCATAAATCTGGTAGGACTAAATACAGCATATTGGTTTCTGGTTTGATCTCTCTTTACTGTTTCATTTATATTGGCCTAAAACGATACAGACCTCAGTGTAAAGGCATTAATCTTGTAGCTTTCAACAATAATAGTTTCTGTAATTTTTTTTAATGTGGCACTTTTAAATTCCTTTTCATCTGAACCAACTTATTAATACAAAGGAATTTTAAAATATGTGGAACAAAATTTTTAAGTTGCTGAGAATAATTATGCTCTCCTGTAGAGTCTGCAAGGGGCAGTGATAGTGAAGATGAAGTTCTGCGAATGAAGCGAAAGAAACCGATTGCATCAGATTCAGAAGTGGACAGTGATACAGAAGGACAGAAAGGTAAATGCTGGTGGTGGTGTTTTGTGGGGTTTTTGGTTCATTTGATCCTCATCTTAAACGCACCGATCGTCTGCTACGGAACTTGATAAAATTGATAGTGCTTCCTACACAGTTTAACTACAGTGCCATGGAAATAACAAAACAGCACAGCAAGAATTATGTGTGGGGGAAGTACACGTTGTATTTCTGCTGATTATCTCTAGTTACCTCCATCAGTTTTTCAGTTTCCTCCATGAGAGACAGAGCTTTTCTTTTGCAATTGTTTCACAGATTTTATCTGGAAGATGTTAAGGAGTGGTGCCTCTAATCAGAGCAGCCCAGAGAACCTGTACTGGTTTTTGTGATGTTTAGCTGGCTGAGAAAGGTGTTGGTTCTTCTGAGAAGTAAAACCTCCAGAAGGTGTAATGAAGTTGCTGTTTACATATATTCAAGTTGTTTACTTGAGTAAATGATGATCTTACACTCTTAATTCTTCTGTTGCTATTTTTCACCTAGATTATTTTGATAGACCCTTTCTAGGAAGACATACCTTGAATCCTTAGCTTAAAAATACACATGAAAACTGTTTTTCAAGATAAGAGAATAATGTACGCTTCATAAACATTCTCAATTTTTAACTTCTGTAGGTAATTTTAAGTGGTAATAAAGGTGAAGGATGTGTTCTTCTTTTTCTCTGTGAGTGTGCTTGCATGTAGGGGCATGTGTGCACATATATGTGTATTTTAAAATAGTATTTTTTCTGCTCAAGAGCATGCAGATGTCATGGATCTGTTTGG